CTCTTGTCGTTCAGTGAGAGCAAGTACAGCACCATTCGAGTCGGCAAAACCAGTTTTTCAAACGGCATGGTTTAGCGACTAAACGGCATACCATTGAAAGAAGTGAACGCCCTGAAGGACTTGGGTGTCTGGATCACACCCTTGTTTAAACCCTTCCTGCAATGCGCGAAGGTAGCCACGTCTGCGATGTCCGCCCTATACCTCGTCAAGCGAGCCTTTTCTGCCTTCAATGACGATTGCTTCACTTAAGTCTTTGGAACCTTCGTACGACCGCAATTAGAATCCGATATCCAAGCTTGGAGACCCTGGGATGCGCAAAACATAAACATCCTTGAAAACTTTCAAAGGCGCGTAACCAAACTTGTTACGGGGCAGGGCTCGCAGTCTTATGAAATACGACTGTCGAATCTTAACCTCTTTCCATTGCGCTGCAGGCAGCTTCGGGGGACCCAATACTAACATTTCGCATATTAAATTTTCCGGGCTGTTGTCTTTTATCAGGAGATTTCTTCGAATTGGCAACAATAACGAACGTGCAAGGGAATGCTTTCAAATAACTTGTGATCGGAGCCAAGTTCGACGCTAAGAAGCACTTATTTTCCAAAAGGGTGGGCCAAGTTTGGAATAGTCTTCCTCTGGATGTCGTTATGTCCGAATACCTTGAGGTTTTTAAGCGAAAGTTGGATCGATATGGCAGTGCGCGTGAAATATGAACTGACAGCCGCTGCTGACCATTGACAACTATAATAATACTAGCTATATTTAAGATAAATTTTTTTGTGCCTTTTTTACATCACTAGGTTCTCCTAACATTAATCCCATGCGAAGGTCTCCGTGGTCTTCCCTATTTGGCTATTTGCATACCGTGATGAACTCGTCAGCGATCGCATCAGCCGAACCTGGTGGCCTACACGCTCACCCTTGGTTCGACCCGCAGCGTATTGTCGACGATGTTGGTTGCTATTTCTGTTTATCAAGGCCGCGTCTTCCGCACACGGTGATGATCCCGGTGACCTCTGCAATGCCCCCCACTGTTGGACCCTGCCCTGAGACCGTACGTTTTTTTCCTTATTCCCATACGCCATCAGATCCGCCCACTTCCCCGCAGGAGTGACAGTATATCTCCTTAACAATCCCAATGAGTTTTTTTCACTATCTGCTCAAAAAACTATGTAACACCTCATGGCTCATAATAATTGGCTTCGCCAACAATTTTAGATATCATATTTTCATACCACAACACATGTACAAATATGAACTCAAGGCAATCTATATATATATATATCCCTTGAATATACCGATGATGTTACTTATGCAATAAATATGTTGAAGCAGTCATAGTCCGTTTGGACTTCGTGTTTGGATAGAACAACAAGGCTAAACAATGTGGAATTTGCTTTTTAATCATACTCTATTGTTAAATTTTCCCTTAAAAATCGCATTACCTATTTTAAGTTTGCAAGCGTCTTTATAGACTCTTTTGTTTATTTGGATCACGCTAATGATGACGATGGTGAACCTTCCTGTGCATCTTTCGAAATCGCTCGTTCCGTGTAACGGAGAGATATCGCGCGTCAAATGCAAGCGAAAAAAGGAAGAAATTCAGCCCACGGAAAATGTGAGTGTGGCTTACTTATCATTAAAACTTCAATTACAACGTCCTTATTAAAACAAGTGATCGTTACATAATGAAATAAGTGGCATTTAGGTTGAACTTCATGACAGTGCACGAAATAAATCTCTACATAATACTAATCATCATCCTTACTAAATACGATAATTAAAATAATAACAATCATCTCATAATAGTATAATAATAATCAAAAACGAGCTTTTACGATGTATACATCGTAAAAGGGTATACCCTTTT